AAGCACAGGCCATTCTGGAGGCTTCCCGCTCATCCATGGGTTAGTGGCAATGGGGTGTGTGTGGGTGAGGAAGCTATGGATATGCCACATCAGTTAAGGGTATGGTAGTGATTCTCCAGGCACGTCATGGTTCCAAAACAAACCAGCAGATGTTTTGGTGCCTCAGTGGGAGACACAAGAGCTACGGTGTTGGTTTGACAGAGGGCCAAATCCACGCTCATTTCTAATAGGTAAAAGATGCCTTTTGGATGCAAGATTGCTGTTCTCAGCGTGTAGTTTTAGATTGGAGCTGCAGTGTAGGGTTTGTTGTTCAAACTGTCTTCCATGCTGTAGCAAAAGGAAGCATGCCAGTACAGCACATATCCTTACAGCGCAGTGCTTTGTGGGGGAAGGCACACACACACACCCCTTTCCCCATGGCACCTGTGGTCCCCCGCAGTCTCACAAAGCCAACTGTCAGGCTGTGAGAACAGTGCAGAAAAAACTTATAGTAGTTGAAAAAATGTGAAACAAGGTAGGCTTCTTGGGGAGTGGTCTGGCCCCATCTTTCCCTGTCCTCCCCCACACGCATACTTTTCATGCTCCCCTCCTCCACACAGGGATGGACATCTCTCCCATTGACCTGATCAACATTGAGAGGTTTTCCAGCCGCGTCATCTCGCTCTCTGAATACCGCAAAGGCCTGCAGGAGTACCTCCGCTCCAAGATGAGCCAAGTGGCCCCCAGTCTCTCAGCCCTAATTGGCGAAGTGGTGAGTAGAAAAAGGGGTGAACGACAAGGGAGACGATGCCTCGCTTGGACAGAAGGCAGATTTAGCCCAAGTGGGACTTAGCTACTGCTGGCTGGAATGGGGGTGCAGGCTCCCAGTGGCTACAGATATGATGTACATTGTGAATCTGTCAATCCACTGAGCTTTTGCTGCTGACAACCAATCACTGCTGATCTGTGCCAGAGGGGTGTGCTGCTAGGGGCTGGCGGGAGGTAGGGCAGTCCATGTTGTTGCTGTAGTTTGGGGTATTTGGTCAGTGTAGTATTTCGGACTCTTCAAGAGGGGGTAGATAACATTTGCATTTGGGGTCTACCAGCTACAGGACCATGCACTCAGTGGGTAAGGAGATGTTCCTGGCTTCTTTACCACTGAGATATTTGTGCGGGTGGAGGAGAGTAAGTAGCAGTTTCTAAGTGGCATTGAGCGCCACTGTTAGTTCTCGGGTCTGCGTAGTGTAATGTGTCTGCTGGAATTGTTTCTCTCTGCTTTTTCTGCCGGCAGGTGGGTGCGCGCCTGATCTCCCATGCTGGCAGCCTAACCAATCTGGCCAAGTACCCGGCCTCAACGGTCCAGATACTGGGCGCAGAGAAGGCCCTCTTCAGGTACAGCTGCAGGGCAGCCGCGGTGATGGCAGGACGGTGGGGCGCTGGGCTTGATGTGCTTGCTGAGTGCGCGTGATGGACTGGCCCCCATCCTCTGAGTGGCTGCCTGGAGCGTTCCCTTCCCCCTTGGCCTGGCAGGTTAGCTCTTGCTGGTTTGGACGGGAAGGCAGGGGGGAGGGTTGGTTGGTGCTGTGGTCTCTTGTGGGAGAGTCTTGCTGGTGTGACGGGCGGGGCCATGCCCACGATCCTCCCTCTCCTCTGCCGCAGGGCCTTGAAGACACGGGGCAACACCCCCAAGTACGGCCTGATCTTCCACTCCACTTTCATTGGGCGTGCAGCCGCCAAGAACAAAGGCCGCATCTCCCGCTACTTGGCCAACAAGTGCACCATTGCCTCCCGGATCGACTGCTTCTCAGGTGAGGTTTCAGGGCTGGCCGAGGCCTGGCTCTCGTCGCCCCGGGGGGAGGAGGAGCGTCTCCAGGTGACGAGGGCCCCTCAGCAGATGCTTTGCCATGATGCTTGCATTTTTCGTCAACAGCATTTCACACGGTGAATGGTGACATTCCATGTCTGAGCAAAGCCCTGCCCGGGGGGGTGGGTCAGTGGTGAAGTGCTGGATCAGACCAGCTCGCCCTTCTCTGTCTTGGCACGGGGCATTCCCAAGGCCCTGGTAAGCAGGGAACGTCCCTCCTCTCCTCTTGCAGAGGTCCCAACCAGTGTCTTCGGGGACAAGTTGCGGGAGCAGGTTGAGGAGCGGCTGGCTTTCTACGAGACGGGAGAGCCCCCTCGGAAGAACCTGGACGTCATGAAGGAGGCCGTGGTGGAGGTGAGTGGGGTCTTCCGGCTGCCCGCCCACTGCTGGCATCGGCTGGATGTGATGAGATGTCCTGAGCCCCTGACCCACCAGCCGTGGAGGCAAAGACTGATTTAATGAGCCTGATCCAGCGCGGTGCTTTGGGAGTCCCAGTAGCTGGGAGTCGGGCCAGTGCTGACCCTAGACCCGTCTGTCCTTCCTTCAGGCCACAGAGGTGGCTGCGGAGATCAAAAAGAAGTTGGAGAAGAGAGAGAAGAAGAAACGGAAACGTGAGAAGAAGCGCCTGGAGGCGCTGGCAGCTGCTGCGGAGGACTCCGTCCAAGAGACCACGGCAGAGGTGAGCGGGCGAGGAGGGGCTGGCCTTGCCGCCACGCTTGAGCTCCTCTTCCCGTGGGCTTCCTTTGTGTTCTTCTCTCTTGGGGGATGGTCCACTGGTGGCTGAACTGGCCCACAGGGCTGCCCGAGGGGCTTGGCCGTCAGTGTTTCTTTTTCTCCGCAGGCAAATGAGACAGAGCCCAAAAAGAAGAAGAAGAGAAAGCGGCAAGAGGAGGCAGAGTTGGAGGCGGAACCGGAGCCGGCTGAAAATGGCCTGGAGCCCGAAGTTGTGCCCAAGAAGAAGAAGAAGCTGCAGCCACCGCCTGCAGTGGAGACCCCGGAGAAGAAGAAGAAAAAGAAGAACAAAAAGGCACACCTGGAGCAGGACAGTGATGACACAGACTAGCAGGGGGTGTGGCCTGGCCGAGGCCCGAGAGCCCTAGCCCGAGAGCCCTTCTGGGGGGGGGGGTGTCTCCACTCTCCCCAGCATTTTCCCGGCAAGAGAATGTAACCCAGGCTGGACCTTTGTTGCCAAAAAGACTGGGCCGGAGGCCACCTGGGCCATGGTTGCAGGCCTCCGATGCACGCACACGCTCCGCTCTGTCTGAGTAGGGATGCAGGGGGCGGGGGCGGGGTTGCCCTGCCTCATTGTGCCGACCACTGGGGAGCAGCAGTCGCTGCACAAGTGGAGCTTTGTAAAGCAGTACATTTCATTTTCCAATAAAGGATACTGTTTATAAGAGCGCCCACCTCTTCAGGAAATCAGTGGCCATGGAGGTGCAGGGTTTGTGGGGGGGGGGGGGGGTGGGGGGGGGGGGGGGATTCAGGCACGGTGGAGATCCCAGGGCTGGGCTGTCAGGTTCTCCCTGCCTGCTCCCTGCCCAGCACAGGGGGCTCTGGGGATTTTTCAGAGCCACCTGCTCAACCTTGGGGGGGGGCAGCGTCCCCCAGACACCATTCATGAGGCTGGAACAGTTTGGCCGTGTTGCCGAGGCCTCTGTGTAGGAAGTGGGCCTCCTCATCACATGCAACCCTTCCTGAGCCCACTTCTGCAGAGGGCCCCAGTTGATGGCCAAGGGCCCCACTTGGTTCCGGGGAGCTCAGGTTTGACCCAGCACAGAGGTGCTTGTTTCGGGGCGAGGGGGGGGCTCTAAAGCGCCATCCGTGACAGATCGCAGCCTCTCCAGCCACCCACTTGCATATCCCTCAGTTTTTCATTCCACACACCGTTTACACGCGAGCAGCCTTTCTACCAGGAACCCCTATAGAGCTGCATGCTTTCTGGCCAGGTGTGGACTGCCAACCAAGTGTTCCTGGTTCTTCTCTCTGGAGGGGCAGGAAATGAGGTCAGTTACCGGCCAGGGATATGTAAACAGCTTGACTTGCAAAGAAGCTTGAGGGATTGGGTGTTGGGAATCTCCCAGAATGCCTGCCATGGGGGGCTCCCAGGATGCACCTGGGCAGACCAGGTCAAAGGGGGTGGAGTGATGTAGAATGGGTGGCATCAGAGGTTTCATAAAAGCCCTTGCTCCCGGGAGGGGGGGGCTGCTCGTGGGGGGTCCTTGGCTGCTGTGCTCTGTTCTGCAGGCCAGGAACCATCTTGGCCATGTGGCCTGGGGCGCTGGATGCAGAGACAACCCTTTGGAACAGTCTGCAGCTTACTACGCTTGCAACTGCCTGCTCTGTTCCAACATCTTGTAGTGTAAGTTTTAGAACTAGGGACAGAGAATACGATTGTGACCAACTTTTCCTTCTGGTTGCTGATCTGGTGCTGCGTTCGCTCGTAACCTTTTCCCCTTTGTAATATAAATGTCTTACTCTTTGAAGCTGGGACTGTTCTCTGGACTGCTTGGTCCCCCCCAACCACCTTAGGCCATGCTACTCTCTAAGCACAGGGGGAGTCCCGGGGAAGGCGAGCCGCCAAGGCACCCGCTGCCAATCCTCCGGGGGGGCCCCAAAAGAAGGGAGTGGGTCCCTGGGGTGAGCAGGCGCACTGGGTGGCAGAAGACCAGAGGGAGGGCCGCAGTCTCAGAAGGGGTGTCAGGAATCTGTCCCTCCTGGCAGGAGGACCCCCCAACAGGACAGTGGTGGCACCGTGCCCTTGCAGAAGGGCGTGGAATAGCACCCTCCAGGAACTGGCGCAAGCCAAGGAAGGGGGTCTGGCAGAACAGGGTCTGTTAAGCCAGAGCAGGCCTGTTCTGCCACAAGCCCCCCAACAGGAAGCTTGGTTTAGAGCCTCCTTTCTGAAGGGAGTCCTGGGGGCTTTCCTTTACCCACTCCTGGAGGACCTGCCTCCGTGACTGGTGGGATCGCGGGGACTCACTCATCCAAGCTTCCGCAAAAAGCATGGAGGATTGCAGCTGTTAAAGAAGGAGAGCTTTCAGATTCAACCCACCCCCCCAATTATGCCCACAGTGCAATAAAAAAAGACAGGCGATGGCTCCTTTATTTTTGCCATACACAACCAGAACAATAAATTACCAAGCAGCGGCCCGGCCGCCTTGCGGGGTCTCCCAGTCCCCCTACTCGCCCAGGGCACTGATCACAGCGCGGGTGAAGTCATGGGAGGTGGCGTAGCCCCCCATGTCTGGTGTTCTCACCTGCGGAGAGAGAGAGAACGGGCCGTGAGCAAGAGAATCACTTCTCAAGACAGAAGACACACACACACACACACCCCGGTCAAGGTGAAGCGCCTTCCCTTTTTGCCTTTGGCTCCAACTACGACTTCCCCTCTGCTTTTGAATGCTAAACGCAGCCTCCCTGAAAGGAGGGACTTGCACAGAATTGGAGGCCACCAAATCCAAGCAGCAGATCCAGGGCGCGGTCACGTGCTGCTCATCCCAAATCCAGTCAATTTTCGTTCTAGTTTGCACAAAGTCCTGCCGTTTCATGGCAAAGGGCAGTGTCCAAAGACATTCCCAGGGACTGATATCAGCCTCCTAATGCTTCATATTTGCTTGAGGCCCATCAGCACCAGCCGACCACACTGCCCTTCTCCTGGGGCGGCAGTTTCAGTTTGGTGTCGTGGTCAAGTGCGCGGACTCTAATCTGGGAGAGCCGGGTTTGGTTCCCCGCTCCTCCTCCACTTGCACCTGGCTGGATGACCTTGGGCAAGCCGTAGTTCTGACAAGAGCTGTTCTTGAAAAAAAGCCATTTCTATCAAGAGCTCTCAGCCCCACCTCCCTCACCGGGTGTCTGTTGTGGGGAGGGGAAGGGAAAGGA